GGCACATATTGTATGTTAATCATTGTACGTCCCCTCAGCTCTTCGTTGGGTATAGAAAAGAATTCCTATACTGTTTTTGTATTACTTGTATTGAAAGATTTGAAAAAAATAGCTTCATAAGAAAGTTTTTCTCCGATGATCATATAAGCTGAAACATGTTTCTGTCTTCAAGTATATCCACAAACATGAATAGTATTGTACTCTTTTGTATTCTATTGCATTTTTATATACTTTTCGTGGTAAATTTTTTTTGATTCTTAAATTTCTCTTCTCTCTTTCTTAAATACACAATACTCTTTCAAATATGGCTGACCTATGAACCTAATTTTATACTATAAATTTTATATAAAAATTAGCCGTAATCATTAGACACAGCTTTGGTGTATATATTTTCTTGAATACATGCCTGCAATTAATACTAATACTAAGAATGTATTGATAAAATTCGTGATTAATTAATATGAAAATACTGGTTAGCTAAAAACCGATTTGAATCTTTTTTTCATTAAGGGTACATGAGCCAAACAATTTTCTTTAGAAATATACAATTATGCTAACTTGACACTCAGATAGAAAATATTTTATCGTCATCATCGGCTATGATAAAAGTTTTTTACGCTTAGATTTTGGATTATGATAAAGCACACAGGACGTATTTGTCTAAGGGAAAGGAAGTCTTCGAGGTAGATTTTTTTTTTGTGGGAAACAACTGTTAATTCACAATCAATTGTACTTATGAAAATCCCTAAACCCCCACCCCCATGCAGCCGCTAGAATTTACCGGTGCTCAGCTATCTTATCTTAAACCGCTTGGAGACTAGTTGGCTTTCTGAACTTACGCATACCTATCTGAATTTGAATATTTGCATAAAAAAAACGAGCAAAATAAAATGACACATTGTAAATAGTACATTTTACTGAAATCAAACTTTCTTTGAAAAAGGAAAATTAATTGTAAGGAATAAGTTAGATGCATTTAATTAAACGGCGGGCAATAACAGCGCTGATCATATGTTTCGTATAGGAAATCATTTTCTTCTGTTATCGTATAACGGAAAATATCCACAGATTATATTTTACAGTTTTAAGAAGTCATGGGTTATCTGCTTTAAGAGAACACCTTCGTGGGCAATTTTCTAAATAAAATTGGCTTGAATTCACGTTACGCATCGGGAAAATCATAAATACCACAGCAGCTAAACTGTTCGGTTGCCAACAACAAAATACCAACATCCAGCAATCTTATTCACTCAACTATAGTGAACTTAAACTAATGTTTTGTATATTATTAGTAGTATTAAAATAACGAAAATATTTATTCTAATAAAATTTTTGTTTGAATATCGTCCCTAGTAAGGTATTTCCTTTGGTTGGAGATTTGTCAACAATAAATGCTATGTTTAAACAGACATTTATTTAGAGCATAATGCTTCAAAAATGTATGCTGGGATCCCTAGAAAAAAATATCGCCGGAAAATATATCTCCGAAAAAATATTTAATTATTCATATTCTTATGATTAATTATTAAATAATTAATAACTTTTATAATTATTAAATGAAATGCTTATTTATACTTTACCAAATGTACAGCAACATTCTTTCTTTACAAAAATACCATATTGAATAAATTATATTGTAAGCTAATAAGTAACAACATTGCTTTGTTTAATTAAGATACAATAACAAGCCGAACAAACATTAAATTGGAAGTCAAACAACAAAAATCAGCGTTATATTTCCAAATTTTCACAATCTAATTTTCATTATATCTTATCTCGTTCATTTGCGCTTTTGCAGCTGAAGATGATGGTTCGGTAAAACCATCGAAACTAGTCCTGTGAAAATTTGAAAATATAACGCTGATTTTTGTTCTTTGACTTATTTCTAATTTATTGCTTTGTTTGTTATTAATATGTCTCATCTTTCCTATTTCAGATAAAATTTACTAGTGTTTCTTGGACAGGAAAGCAAGAATTTTTAATTTGAATCCATAAATTTATGATACACTGAAAACGGTTTCATGTTATAATTCCCTTTCTGAATATCTTGAATGTATATGAAAAAGTAAAATGCAAATTTAATATTAATATTACCAGCCTTAAAAACACCCAAATATTTCGTTTATTACTCTCTTAAAACTACGTAATAATTAAGGAAAAAAGAAATTATTTAAAATAATTATTAATTGCCTGCAATTGAAGAATATAGGAAAATGCAGAAGGTTTTAAAGATTTTTAATTAATGACAAAAATACAGAAAATCGGAAATAATACGAAATGTTTCAGCAATATCTCAGAAGTAATGAAAATTGCACCATATATTTGTCAGAATATAATTTTAGTGATAGCAGTTTAATCAGTCTGCATTGAAATTCCAGTGATAATCAGTGACATACAGATTTAGGTTACTTAGGTTAAAAATGCGTAATAATTTAAAATTTAACCGGGTAAATTTTTAAACCAATTTATTTGAAAACTATCAGCTTCGCTACAAGCCTTCGTCTGGCTTTTAAATGTACCGGAAAAATGGCTGAAGGGAACTCCAAACGTTAAATTTAAAAACTGCGTAGGATTTTACTCTGCAGAACAACTTCATAAAAAAGTTATTTACGTATAACAAAATTACAATGAAATAAGCAATGTCCCTTAATACAAATATTAATTATCCTAATAAATAAATTAACCAAATTCCCTTTGCAAAATCTTAAGAACTCAAATGGTATAAAGGAGGTTAATAACTTTGTTTCCTAAAAAAATCAGTCAAAACTTTTCAATATCTTAAAAACAGTGAAATGAGCAATAAATAAAATAAAGGAATGCAAAAAACAAAAAATTCTGAAAAGCAAAGTATAATTAATGATATTTTTTCTTATGTTTTCAAGGGAAAAAATTACAATGAAATAAGCTATATCTCTTAATATTATTGATATTAATTATCCTAATTAAAAAATTAACCAACTTTCCGTAGAAGAACAAAAATCATGTAAAACTTTTCAATATCTTATAAACAGTGAAATAAGCAAAAAAATGACATGAAAGCAACTCAAAAAACATAAAATTCCGCGCAGAATTTTACTCCACAGAACAACTTTATCAAAAAAAAAAAAAAAAAAAAAAAAAAAAAAAAAAATCAATAAAAATATATTATATTTATATAAAAATGACAATGAAATATTCCAATCTCTTAAAAACAGTGACATAAGAAATACGATGAAAAATTGTTGCCAAACCCATATTTCTAAAAGAATGAAACTATTCAAAATGATGCGATTTCATCAAAAATCTATCAACAACAATAAGACAGGAAAATTGTTGCCAAAATCACATTTTTAATGATGTGTGAAATATACTCGGAAGCTTCATTTAAAAAGTCTTTTAAAAATACAAAATATTATCATTTTTCCGAAATTCTTTTTGTAAAAGCATTCGCAAGGATGAAAGTTTAACGTGTCCAAAAATCAAAGAAAAATAAACTGTACATTTTTAAAAATAAACTTTTTTAGAAAAAATCCCATTGAAAAAGTGTTAAGCTCCCTTTGTTAAATAAATTCGTATTTAATCGATTTATTGAAACACGAAATTTATTTTAAGTTCGTAAAATATCTAAGTGCCTACGTTTCATGACGATGTGAAAATGGAGTGTGTAGAGTAAAATCTCACTTTCCTATAGCACATTATGTTTCAAAATGACACGATTTCATTACAAAACATGAAATAAAAAAAAATTCGAATTCGAATTTCGAAAAAATCGCTTCGAAGTGCACTGGCTCTTGTGTAGATGTACCTATGTACCAAATTTCGTAGCCGTGGGTCTATTAGCTTACGCGCAGCGCGAACGAAAGGCGCGCAACACAGACAGACTCTTTCTTTTATTATATGTAGAGAAGATATGTAGAGATAAGATTGTTTAAGGGAAGGAAACTTTCAAGTTTCGCAGCTGTAGCCTGCGGCATTAAGACAATCATCACGGAGAGTCTAGCCTTTTGCAATTCTCTTGAGAGCTCACAGCTACCGAACAATATATAGCAATAAATCTCACTTAGCGGAATCATTGAAGTAAAATTCTGGGAGGGATGGGAAATAACAAAAGAACTGCTTGACAATTTTCAGAGGTTTAGGGTTATTTTCGCGACATTTTACGGGAAGTTCGGTCCAAAACTAGCGACAGTTTTAAAGAGATTCGCAGATAATCACTCGACAGGCTAAGGGTTAACTGTCAAGAATTTCAAGATATCCTGGTTCAAAAAACACTAATTCAAATTACACATAACATAAATGAACATTACGAATCAGATTTCTAAATTGCCAAGTTTATTCACGTCTAACACACATTCAACTGGCGGTGCCAGATCCAAGAACAAGAAGTATAACATCATGAAAGATTTACGCCCTCTTTGGCGATTAAAATATATTTCCACGTAAAATTTCTTACACACTGGGCCCGGATGAACTGTAGTTTAGAACAATCAAGATTATCAGTGACATGAACATTTACAAGAATTATTTTCTAGAATCATTATGCATTTCAATACAAATTCAAGTTTTTGTAATAAAGAAATGTCACATAAATATCAAGAACATGTAAAACTTACCATATGTTTCAACAATATCAAGTAAATTTTCAAGTAAATTTCATCAAGAATTATTGTCATAACATTCCTGTTCAAGCATCAGGATTTAAATCAAGAATTTATATAACTGAAGATAATATTAAACAAATTATTTCAAAATCAAGATTATCATAATTCAACTAAAATACTAGAATTATTACAAGAAACCTGTCTTTTTTTCAGAATTAAATTAAATTTTGAAATACACTTATACATTTCTACAACCTTAAAATTTTCTAAATTTCTTTAAATATTAAATATACAGTACTTTAAATAGCAATTAAATAAAATAGATACAGCATTAGTAGCATTACGATTACATTTTCAATAAGAAATATACTATCATACAATATTAATACTCTTAGCACTCTAGACGGAGATAATGGTGATATGACAACAAACATCATGGGTTGGATAAAGAGATTTGTCTACAATTCTCGACATAAGCAAGAAAAGAAAAGAGGAAATCTCAGTGTATCTGATATAGATGAAGCAGAGAAAACAATAGTGTATTTAATACAACAAGAACCCTTCGGTGGGTTAAGAAATAAACGATTGCAATCTTTGGACACATTCCTTGATAATGGAATTATACGATTGAAATCACCTGTACTCAGAAGAGATGATCATGAAGAATTTAAAACGCCAGCAATTTTGCCAGGAGAACATCCACTTGTGAAACGTTTGGTGGTAGAAGATCACGGGAGAAATGGGCATGCTTGTGTCTTATACACTTTAAATTCTTTAAGAGAGAAATACTGGCTTCTCTGTGGAAGGAGAGCCGTTAAACATGTATTGTGATCTTGCATTATTTGCAAGCGGTTTTCAGCTAAAGGTAATAATCCTCCCACTGCGCCACCACCAGCAGATAGAATTCAAGACGCTGCTGCATTTCAGATAACAGGAGTGGACTTTACTGGCCTAGTGATTCTAAGAGATAACTCAAAAGCTTGGATTGCTCTTTTCACCTGTGCGATGAATCGTGCCGTCCACCACGAATTAGTGATATCCATGTCAACGGAGACATTTCTACTAGCTTTTCATCGTTTTGTTGCTCGCAGAGGGAAACCTTCAGTCGTATACAGTGATAATGGAACTAATGTCAAAGGAGCTACCAGTGCTTTTGCGTTAATTGATTTTGAGAAAATTTTCCTTGAAGCAAGAAAAGAACACATAACTTGGAAGTTTATACCATCTAATGCTCCTTGGTGGAGAGATTGATGGGAGAGACTTGTAGGAATGAGGAAAAATATTTTAAAGAAAACTCTAGGAAGAGCCAGTTTAAGCTACGAAGAAATGATTACAGCTTTATGCAATTGTGAGGCTATTTTAAATGAAAGGCCTTTAACTAGTCTTACTCCTCTTACACCAGCAAATTTTCTCAAGGAAATCAAAAGTAGTACCATACAAGACTTTAAATGAATCCAAATTCAAATAGTTTACCGCGAAGGTTACAATATATTCAAACGGTACGGGAAGCATTTAGAAAAAGATTTCGTCAAGAATATTTGGGAGTATTATGTACAAAATAAAGGCATAAAAATTCAGCCTTCTAAAAGAAGGAGACGTAGTTCTCATTAGAGACGACGATAAAAGGAGACAACTTTGGGCACTTGGTCGAATAGTTAAAGTACTACCGGGAGTTGATGGCATTGTTCGTCGTGCTATTGTAAGGACTCAAAGTGGAGAACTGGTCCGAGCTGCCCAAAAATTATATCCCTTAGAATTTCCTGCACTAGAAACCACACCAGAAATAATACAAAATGAAGTAAAAAAATAAAAGAGAAAAGGAGAAACAAGAAACTGCTGGCAAAGTATTAAATGAGGACTATCTTGATTGAGCTAAAACAAACCCATAAAACTGTCACTTTGAACTGAATAAGTTTTTTTTAAACTTTTTAATATTCGCAGCTATATTTATAAGTTAACTTTCTATACTTTAGTTAACTTAGGTGGGAGTATGTGAAAAATTGTATCTTTCAAATAGTTACAAACGTAAGTTATTATTTTGTTTATATTTTATTTTTATCTTTGAATAATGCATGCTGAATTTAATTTTTGACGTGTTTGGACGTGTTTGTAACTGCGCGATTTTTTAGTAGTTAGGTTCTGGTAACAGTAAAATATTGCTAAGTCTGTTCTATTCTTTTTAATTTTTAAAGTAATTTATGCTGTGTTTTTGAGTTATAAGAAGAGAAGGTATCTTTTTGTGATATTTAAAGATATACATATTGAGTTTCGATTTGCTTGCGTCTAATAAATGCGTTTTATTAAACAACTTGGAGTTTTAATGAATTTTTATTGACTTTGGAGTATTTTTGAGAGGAAATGATTTGTTAGGTTCATTAAAAAAAGGAAAAGCACATTTGTTTGGACATTTTCCCTAAATGATAAGCCAGATAAAAGTTCCCTAAAAATTCAGCACAAAGAACTCAAATTATTAAAGAATGAAAGGGCTTAGATAAATACTAGAAATGATGTGCAATATTTGCAAAAAATAAATTTTATTTGGAGAATTTTTTATTTTTTAAGATATATGTAATAATATTTAGATAAAGATCAAGCAACGAGCCACATAATTATTACATAAATTATTTTTAAAGTAATAGAAATTTATAATGAAAGAGGGCCACCTCTAAAAATATTACAATGAACTGCAGGAATACAATCTACAGATAATTCTATTATACGTAGTAATCCTGAAATTTTTGAGACAGGGGCAGACAATATGCGCTAGAAGAAAATTATTTGTTACGTGTTTGAATCCTAACTCTTTTGTATTTCCAGATGAAGATGACCGTAAAGTAAATTTTGAAAGAAAAAAATATGGATCTATGATTTTCTATGATCTTAAAATGGGGCTGGGCTCCAGTGTAAAATTGGGTGCCCCTTCAATTAGCAGCAAATTTTGCTCAATTTTGGCGATGAAACTCCATTTCTGCTTACTGTAACGTCAGTACACTCGTGTCGGGTGAAAGAAAGACAGGTTGTCTTTTAAATTATTTATTTGATAAACTAAAATAGATTTCTTGATTAAAACATAAAAATAAACTGATCATTACAGCCCTAAATCATACAATATCCGCTAACGCAGATTGAACGCAAAAAAGCGTCCTTTTTACTGTAGTTACAGAATAAAAAAAACTATTGTTCTACAGAAACCACTGGCGTGGTTTAGAACGTAAAAGATGCGTCCTGTCACCTCAAAATCACATGAAGAACTCTTACACAAAGATTTCACTCGTTTTGTTATCTGCGAAGAGAAACATAATTAGTTCCTTGTGTCCGGAAACTCCCAGGGGGTTTTATCTGCAGTCCTGCTTTTTGCAGGTATAGTCCATTTCGTCCGCGAACAAACAAGAAGTTATAATTCAGCACCTGTGCCCGAGGGGGTGCTAGTAGCTGTATCGTCACAACCTCTTTTCTCGTCGGGGGGCGGGGGTTTCAGAACTCCAATTCCCAGTAGCTACCACAGCAAGTTTTCAAAGTAAACTAATTAGCAGTTATTAGCATTAATACATTTTACAACAACACTGGGCTAAGTACCAAGGAAAATATAACAAGAACTATATTGAGGCCAGTAAAAAAACAAACATATAATCAACATAATACTGAGAAATAAACTTAATTATACACATACAAATGAAGAACGTATAATTTTCTGAAAAATGGAACATGCATTCCTAAGTTTAATGTTAATTATATATCTAGCCAGGCTGAAAAGGGAAACCTTGCAGATTTTTAATTTTCCGTTTGTGATAAACTCTCAATGGTAACCCAACACCTGGATGAGAACTACTACATTTCACCTCAAAATAAGCATGTACATTTAATTTGGCTTTAACATCAGAAAAAACCACTTCATTACAAGTTGGATTTACATCATTCATGAAGTAGCTATATTTAATCCCCTTTGACCGTTCAGTATCAGGCACTAGTATAGATAAATGATAAACTGGGAAATCTTCTACTTTCTTTGGTAAATTTACACTACTAGGTGTCTTGGGCAATTCTCCTACGGAATTTCTAGGCATTCGCAAACCTCCCGAGTCTGGTTGGTACGAAACGTCGTTTAGCTTATCTAAAGTTTCTTAACCAGTTCGTAACTTGTACACCTTTCCCAAAGAGTTACTGTGATCGTTTAAGGCGACTAAGTCACAAGATGGCTTTACAACGTCACTTTTCTTTTGTAGGTCCGCTATAAAAGAATATTTTATTGTAGGCAGTGATAGTTCATTCACTTTCGTTCCAGGCAGAGAGAAATTGGTTTTCTCTAATCTTTGTGTTTAAGACAAGACTTTACCCCTTTCTATAATGAGAGGAGAAACTTCGCTTGAGGGTTCGAGTTCGCCGCGTTCAGACTCCAGTGGACAACCTTTCCCCATTTCATTCTTTGATTGACTCGGAGCTCGAATACCTGTTTTCACCTGAAAATCGTGTTGATCTACGGCTAATTTTTCGGCGGTTCGATTTCCTAACAGATAATGTTCCAATTCATTTCGAGTGACCGCTGCCTTTGTTGTTACTTGGCCAAAAGTTCCTTCTATTGTAACGTTTGCTAAGGGTACACAAATTGGGGCCTCATCAAACGGGTGTTTGACCCAAACAGTCTCGCCCGTCAGTATCGAAGGAGTGAGATATTTCTTGCAAATTACGTCAATGCATGACCCGGTCCGGTCATGCATTGACGTAATTTAGTTGATTTTCCCGATAATAATCCTATGTGTTGTATCTGACTTCGAATCTAAAATTTTCTGAAGAACACAAAAACCTTATCTAAAACTTAAAGGTTTATTTAACTGGAACTTCAACACTGATGAAAACTTAACATCACAAACGAAAACTTAACATCTTGGGTGGAAAACATTCAAAGTGCTTTAAAGTAACAGCTATGCCGGCACGGTGAAGAACACTTTCCCCTAAAAGACAGAATCCATCTAGCCCTTTCGGCGTATATCTCCATTTCGCTGAATTCAGACATCCGCTCCTACGTGTTTTGGACTTAAACGGCCACGGCTGGAACTGGAATAGGACTGGATCAGGATCGGAACTGGACTGGAACAAGACGGGAACCGGAACAGGACTGGATCCGCAACAAGACGGGAACCGGAACAGGGCGGAAACCGGAATCTCTCATCCCCTGGCTTCTCCCCGGGCAGATCTATTCTGGCTCAAACTAAAAGGAACTGCGGTGCCACTAAGGAAAGCACCTCCTTTTATTGCCGGCGGTTGCCGTTACTACAGGCGACTTATGCAAATATTTAACATCCTTCCACCTAAGGGAAAAAAAAAGTGAACTTTCACATCAAAGTAAAACAATGCCAAAGAGCCTTAATATACCAGTCTGTCCGGCGGAGTTACAGTTCTACCAGATCGTGTTACAGGCCTGACAGATTTATCATCTATGTTGAGTTTAAGTTCAGACAAAGAATCTTGTTTTTCATTCTGCAGCTTCACGGGTACATCATTTTGCGCTACCTCTAAAGGATACAGAGTTCGAACTGCTCTAAGCAAAATTCCATTTCGGGTCTTTACTCTTGCAAGCCGATTTATTCCATCAGGTCCTGGAAGTAGTTCTATGACACGACCAAGTTGCCAAAAAAGTCTTTTGTCACTACTACCGATCAAAACAATATCATCTAATTTAATAGTAACTTTCCTTTCAGCTCTTTTTTGCGAAACCTTGAGAATTCCCAAATATTCTTTACGAAATCTATTTTTAAATGCTTCTCGTACAGTTTGAATATACTGAAATCTTCTTTGTAAATTACTTGATTTAATTTAATACCGTATTTTATATCCCGCAAACTACTAGTTCTAATTTCTTTAAAAAGTCGGCAGGAGTTAAAGCTTTAAATTCAGGATCGGAAGGAATTACTGTCAACGGTCGGTCATTAAGAATCGCTTCACAGTCACACAGTATCGTGTACATTTCTTCATAATTTAAACAAGCATGTTTAAGAACTTTTTTAAGGACTTGCTTCATCATTCCGATCAGACGTTCCCACCAACCACCCCACCATGGAGCACCAGGGGGAATAAATTTCCATGTTATCCGCTCATTGGCTGCCTGCCGATTAATTTGTTCAAAATCTATTAATTTAAATGCATTTGAAGCTCCTACAAAATTAGTTCCATTATCACTGTACACAGTTGTGGGTTTACCTCTTCGTGACACGAACCGATGAAAAGCCTGAAGAAACACTTCTGTAGATAGAGAA